CTCTCCCTCCCTCCTTCCACTCCCCAAAGCTGTGGCTCAGGCTGACCTTCCGGGGTGTCAGAAAGCCTGGCCACCACCCTGCTCTAGGCCACCGGGCAAGGGCCAGGCCTCCTGTCCCCGGTGGCTAAGTGAAACTGAGGCTCAGCCTGCCAGCTGGGCTGCGCTGTGCGAACTGCGTCCAGCTCCCTCCCCGGGGTGGGATGGGAACTCTGGGATTCTGAGTCCTGGCCTTGGAGATGTCAGCCACCCCCTACACTCACAGGCCCCAGTCACCCCCATGTCCTGGGGCCGGCACTCTCGCACCCACCCAGGTCCCGGCTCCCCTGGACGCTGTGAGCCACAGGACAACAGAGAGAAAGCCCTCTGCCTGGGGGGCCGCGTGGTGCTCCTCGCCCCCAGACCGCAGGGGCGTGGGGTGAGGACCCTCAGCCCTCCACAGCAACTCCCCAGGCCACTCACGCATCGGCGCTGGGGCTGCATTTACTGTGCTCCTGCAAGGTGTGGGTGCTCCCAGCCCAGGCTTGGGTGCAGCAGAGGCAGGCGCCGGGCTACTGAGCTTGAAGACGCTCGTGCCGAGTGGACAGGTTGTCCTGGACCAGGGCAGGGCAGCAGAAGCTGAGGGCTGTGAGCACGGGCGGGGGAGCGCCAGGGCATTCTGGGTGATGTGCTTCTCTAGAGCTGACTTGGGGGTGCGGAGCGGGGCTGTTACGCTGATGTGGGGCCTGTGTCCGCTCCTCGCCTGCCCTGGGCTTCAGGTTCCCATGTACCCTGGTTCCCTCTTCTCTGGGGTGATCTGGGGCCGGACTGGAGCTCATGTGTGGGTGTGCTCGGATCATTGCCACCCCCCCATGTCACCCTGAATTCTGCCATGGTGGGGTTGATGTCGGGGAAGGTTTCCCAGTGGGCTTGGATCTGTCCCTGGTGAAATGGTTCAAAGGTTCAGAGGCACGAGTCCTCGGCCTCTGGGGGGCTGGCTGGCTGGGGGAGCTGGCTGGCGGTGCTTGCCAGAGGTGAGAGCATGGGGTGGACAGCTAGGTGGGCAGGTCCTGGAGGTCAGCGAGGGCAGGCTGGGGGCTCCGGGAGCTTTTCAGGCCCTCCCACCCAGGTACCCCACACCACGGTGCGCCTCATGAAGCAGTCACTTGAGGTCCCAGCCCAGAAGGAGGCTCAGACCGTGTAGGAGAAAATCATGGGTCTGGGTGCTGCAGGCAGCTGGGCTGTAGGCTGGGCCTGAGTGTCTGCAGGGACAGCTCCGTCAGATGCTGTCTCAGCTGGGCGGGGGCTGGGCTTCCCGGTGCCCAGAGAAGCAACCGCCCAAGGTCACACAGCCATTGGTGTGGGGCTGGGGGTCTCCGGCTCCCACCCTCCCTCATCCGTCTGTCCTGGCAGTTGTGTCCAGGACAGAAAAGCCCGGACCACAAGAGGGGAGTCAGGCGGGCTTCCTGGAGGAGGGGCCCTAGGGAGTCTGGAGGGTGTCTAGGAGTATGACAGGAGGGCACAGGGGAGGACACAGCCAGCGAGGCCAGGGGCCAGTTCACGCAGTGCTGGGAGAGGGAGCTCCAGAGAGAAGGGGGAGCCTTTGGAAGACAAGGTGACCCCAGGGAGTCAGACAGCCTTGGGAAGGGGCCCTATTGGGGTCCAGGTCATGTCTGGCGGGAAAACCAGTTGTATGAGGCCCGGAGAGGTTGGGAGAACTGTCCAGGCCACTCAGCAAGACAATGGTGGTCAAGGCTGGCCTGTGGCCTGGCTGAGGGGGAGGCAGAGGCTGGGAGGGCTGCTTGTGACACTCATTCCCGCAGGACACTGACGGAACTTCTGAAACAGCCAGGCCCTCAGGAACCGCTGCCCCCACCTCTGGGCCCACCCCTGGGCAGCTGTGTCCAGGTGCAGATGGGTGATGGCCTCTCCCGGGGCTCCCCCCACAACAGTTCAGGTGAGTAGGCTGAGGCTGTGGTCTAGGGCACGGGGCCCCCTTGCCTGATGTCAGCCTGGGCGCATGAGAAGAGGGGTGCTGTGGGCTAGGGGCTCTGAGCTGGCTACTTCCCAACGGAACGATCTGGCTGCTTCTCAGGGAGGTGTGAGGGGGCTGGGAAAGCTGGTCACCTCCCCTGGGTGGAGAGGGGCCCTGGCCTTTACGGGCCTTTTCCTCTCATCCCTTTTGGGGGCTAGTCCACAGATTTGCCCCCCCATTTCCATGGGAACAGGCCCTAGGACTCTGCCCCCGGCTCAAGCCTAGCCTGCTGGGGCATCATCCATTAGGTCAGGCCACGCAGGGCTATGCTACTGTCCACGGTGATCCGAGCCAGGCCCGGCTCCAGGCAGCTCTGAGTGCAGGTGCGGTGGCCCCTGGTCCGCCAGGGGCGACTCATCTCACCTCCCGCCTTCCAGGGAAGAAACGCCCCAACAACGCACCTCTGGGGTCGGCACTTCTGGGGTCGGCGGTGTCCGGGCCCCTGCGCGGCCCCCGGCCGCAGGGCGGCGGCAGCATGACTCTGCAGCCTGACTCC